CCTCGGAGGCCGTGCCGGTCGCGGGGGTCACAGAGGTGGCCGTGGCGGACGCGGGTTTGGCGGGGCGCCCCGACAACCACCTCCACATCCTCACTTCGACGACGACGATAGTGATGCAACGTGGTCGGATATTAATCCCTTTGCTGAGGGCTTTGACGGCAACCGTGATGTTGATAACCGCAGGCCACCGGAAGCAGGGTTCCGCGACCCCGCAATTGATGAACACCGTCAACCATCTAATGGATTTCAGGCCCACAAAAATCCCGTCAACCAGCGAGCGGGTCACAGACACGAAGCCCTAGGTCGCGAGTTTTCTCGAATTGACGACCGCGTGTTCCGACGAGGGGCTGTCGGCGTTGACGACAGTCGCGGATAGTTTTCTGGTAGCCGGTCCAGCATCTGCGGATTGGGTCTCCTTATCCAGTCCATATACACCTCCTTCACCTTACTGGGCGTATTGAAGGAGCCCACCATCTCGTTTATCTTGGCGGCCGTCCAGCCCAGCCGATTCTCCAGCACGTCGTCTCCGCTTTTATACGTTTCTCGCGTCGAGCAGTGTAGGGAGTTATCCGACTCGATGGACAGTCGCTTGATAGTTTTTGACGTAGGTGATTTTGCCGAATGTGTTGCGCAAGACACCGACGAGACTGCGGATTTGAGGGCGAATCCTCTCCACCCGAGGGAGAATGATGCCGACGAGATTGCATTAGCATATCTCGACAAATATGATCGACGTATGTCTTTAGTATGATGATTATTATTTATTTTTGGTATCTTTGTTTGTATTTATTTATGATGTGTAGTGGGCTTATTCTGTTTGGACCTTTATTTATAATATGTACTAGTACTCATCCCGTGCATTTGCACGGAGGAGAATACGTAGAAAAGAAAACAATATAAAAATAAATACATAATCATAATTTAATTCATGAAAAAATATAGATTAAAAAAATGATTCTACATATTATTGAACGCTTCTTTATATACAACATTCATGGTTTCATATTGGAATCACTATCACCACATTATTATTATCTCCAAACCCTTGCAATTCGTGACTCTATAAAAAAGCAATGTACAATTGTCCATGACTGAAAACATGGTTCGTCAAGACTAAGCCGACGTGTGAGAGAGACTGGTCTTGATTCTTGTTGATCGTCATAGCATAGGAGACCATGATAGAAAATGGTCTCTGCTGAAACTTGAACGGTACTCTCAAACAAATATGTAATAATAAAATGTGTGCCGAATTTGTTATAATTGTCATCAAATATAAATATTTTGGTCAAAATTATCTATTGAACAAATAATTGATTTATAAACAGTTGTTGAATTGGGTTGGATAACATATTACAAAAATATGGTGAATTGAGCATAATTTTTTATTAAAAATAAATTTATAAGGTGATTTTGGCCAATATTCTCAGTAACGCTATTTGTTTAATGAGCCCGGTTTGGTGAAGTCCCGAAAAAATAATTTTCAAATTGAACCCAATACACATTTTTTAACCAAAAAAAAAAAGAATCATGTAATTGCTATTGGGGCAATAGACAAATCAATATTTTTATAACAATAAAAAAAGCTCATTATTGATGAAAGCTCATTTCCACTTTAAGGGTTTAAAAAACCCGTACCAAAAAGAGGAACACCGAAAATTCTGTTTCATTCCACTCATTCTCCACTGTTGTGCATCTCTTCTTTCTCTCTCAATAAAAATCCCAAACCTTCAGTGTTCTTGCAAAATTCTCGCCGATAAACATGCCAAATCGATGTTTGACCAGCGAGATTTTCAGTTCAATACACACAAAAAGAACCAAATCCAAAAATTTCAAGCCCAAAGGAGAAACAACAAAATCGTCCAGATTTTCAAGATCCGTTTTACTGAATTAGAGTAAAACAGTGCAAATCAGGCTATTACAATACATATCTATCAATATCTGAAATTTTTCTAAAGAAATTTACGTTGTTTTTTTCTTCTCTTTTTTTTTTTTACAAAAGTTTGTTTTAAGTTGAGCACTGAAGTTGAATCTTTCGACTATTGGCCGCTTCTTAATAAATACTTCTTTACATTTTGTTTTTTATTTCCTATAAATTTTAATAGATCTATGAAGATTCAATGTTTATTGGTCAAACCATGAATAATAATTGTAAAAGTTGAATACATCTGCATGATAGTCACACCTTTCTATTACAAATAGAGATTTTTTGAAAAAGTCAAATAAAACGTTACATTCTTTTGGAGTTGATTACGAAAAAAAGCCAAAAAATACATATTAAATTTGGTGTATTGTAATTTGTAACTGCTTTTGGCGGAAAAATAAAATAATATAATTTAATGTGAAACGTATATTTTTAACTCGAGTGCGCAAAACGATGTAAGAACGTGGATAAACAACGTAAATAGCGGAAGCAATAAACTGAAGATGTAAAAACTCTTCAGGGAAGCGTCCCACTTCCCCTTAGAGCTCTTTCATTGATAAACCGTTCACTCTTGTATAGTTTGGACTTACACGACTCGAACTCCCTTCCAGTCTAGTTACAACTACACACGATCCTATCAATTACTTCTCCGGCCACGTCCCGTGGACTTCTATCTCTCGAATCCCTCGAGCTAACCACTGTACTTAATCCCTAAGTACTGATCACAAAAGTGTTGGAATGAAATAAAAAAAAAAACAAACTAAACAGCTTCAGTTCTTGGATACGTAAGAACCCTTGAACTGGCTGTGAACAAAATAAAACTAAAAAAGCTTGAAGCTCGAATATTGAATGGAAGATAATTGTTTCAGCAGCATATCTTCGATCTTCAAGCAGGGTATATATACAACTCCTTAGGGTGGAGTCTTTTCCAAGTTCTTCTTTTCCTTTCAGGAGTCAATTTCCTTCTCAATTGATTGCTTTTTGATTTGGACGAAATCCTTCATGTAAGGTAAGTTTTTTTGATGTGGAATTCGTGCATGTAATTTGGAGATCTTCAGAATTGAACTTCCAATGGAAATCTTGCCTTCCAGAATCCGGTAAGAACATGACTTTCCAAAAATAGCCGATCATCCAATCATCAAAGATCTTGTGGTGAATCTTTCCAAATCCTCCTTAGATCTTCTCATGAACGTCCAAAACTCTTCTTGTATG